ACGGGTGGGGGGTGGATGGGAGGGCGAGCGGGCGCCGTCTATGTGGCGTATCTCTTGGTCCACTGTCGAGCTATCCTGTCATGCTCTGCTCTGTTGGTCAGGTACTGAGTAGCTATGCTTCCCACCAGAGGATCCGCTGAGAGACAGAAGAACGGAAAGGAAAAAAGTGAGACATTCTTATACCCGGGAGTCAGCGAGAACACAGTATTCTGAAAGACCCAAGACGGGCGCTGGGAAGGACACAGTGGGAGAGAGAGCAGTGGGAAGTCAGCCATCGTGGAGAGTAAATGAAAGAGCCGTGTGGGATTCAACAGACACATCTGTCATGTGCTGACTCGACAATGTCAGAGATGTTTTCGAGACAAACACCGTGACGGCTTTACAGGATTCCAAACTGTAGGCCTCTTCCTAAACGTCTGGTTTTCCTTACTCGCGACGAAACCTTCACTTCAAGCAACACAACAATGAAGATGCAAAATGAAGTCCTCAGCTTTAACATCAGCTTTTCTGGATTCAATAAATCAATTTTTTTTTAAATTTACAGGCAGTGTTATTTTAGTATTATTTATATAAATTATTAATTTGTTTTAATTGTAGTGCTTCAACTTATTGTACTTCAGTTAATGGCCAAGGCAACATTTCAAATTTTCAAGTCTTTTGGAGTATTTTTCATCTAATATTTGTGCTTTATTTCAGTTTTTTTTATTAATGATAATTGTTTTATTAATTTTAGTTCAAAATAACTCATTTAGAACAATTACTGTATTTTCCTTTGATTTTAGGGTTAAGAAACTGTAAACTCCATGCTGGCATGACGGGTATCAAATTAAATAAATACTTTTTCATTTTTATTTATATTTTTATTTCCCTATGTATTTTCTATCGCTTTCTGCTTCTGATTTTGCCCATTTGAGGCTAAAATCAACCTGACTAGAAACATGCAACATGAAGCCTAAAGTTCAGACTTCAGCTTCAATTTCACATAAATATGATAAATATTCATAGTATTTATTAATATTTTGAATTAGCCATTTTCTTTTTTTTTGCAGTTTTAGTAATTTTTGTACTTCAACTTACACTTGCCAAGGCAGCCTTTCTCATTTTCATTTGTCTTTTCATTTGAGTTTTTTTTTTTAAATGTAATATTTATTAGACAAGTGCTTTTCATCAAATATTTCCATTTCATTTCAGTTTTATTTCAATTAATGACAATTATTTTAATAGTTTTACACAATAACAACCCTGAATGTAGGATATGGTTTTGGGCCAAGATTTTTTAATCAAACAATTTTCCTTTGATTTTAGACAACAGTAAGCTCTCTGCTGGCATAATGGATATCTAATTAAATAAACAAATACATTAAAGTTCTATTTTATATATTTTTATTAGTGCTGTCAACGATTAATCGCAATTAATTAATGTTTTGTTTACATATTATATGTGTGTGTACTGTGTATATTTATTATTTATATATAAATACACACACATGCATGTATATATTTCAGAAAAATTTTGTTTGTATATTAAATATATTTATATATATTATATTAATATAAATATATATGCAAATACATATAAATATACACAGTACATACACATATATTATGTTAACAAAAACGTTTATTTTGGAACGCGATTAATCGCGATTAATCGTTTGACCGCATTCATTTTTATATCTTTATTTCTTCTATCGCTTTCTTCTTCTGATTTTGCCCATTTGAGGCTTTGTCAGTGTGCAAATGAATACTGGTTGGTTCCTTGGATATTTTCATGGTGAGTAACAGGTTGAAATAGTACACAAGAGCAATTTAAAAACCTTCTCAGGTTTTTAAACTTTGCTTTAGGTAAAAACTCAAAATTGGATTACAAAAATGATAGCCTAGCGGTTAGCGCACTGACATATAGTGCAACTGCACGTCTGGCAACCCGAGTTTGAAGTCCCGACTCGTGGTTCTTTGTCAATCCCCTTCCCAACTCTCCTCCCCACACTTTCCTGTCATTCTCTACTGTCCTGTCCATTAAAAAGCATGAAAAAAATGGATTTAGGGTTGACTCTGCTAAAAAAAAAAAAAATCTTTGAGGGTGTTTGCGAAGTAACAAATCAGCACAATTTAATAAAATACTGTATCTTTAAGAGACACTGGACTCTGGATTTAAGAGCATATTAGTGGATCCAGAACTTGTGTTTGTGATTATGGAATGTCCTATTCAGCACCGTGTATATATAATCTGATGAAAATGAATATTGTCGAAATAATTTATTTCTCTATGTTTCTTCAGGAGTGTCCAGATCTGCTCCTGGAGGCCCACCTTCCTGCAGAGTTTAACCTTTAAGTTCAATCATAATTTAGCACACCTGAACGGGCTAATCAAGGTTTTTAGGATTAATAGAAACATCCAGTTAGGTGTGTTGGAGCAGGCTGGAGCTGAACTCTGCAGGAAGGTGTCTCTCCAGGAGCAGGATCAGACACCCCTGCCTTAGGGCCTTCAGTGAAATAAAGAAAGTATCAAAAGCGCAAATAAACGGGAAAATCCACATGGTCAGAATCATCATCTGATGGGTGTAGTCTTTCAGATATGTCGTGGTTGAGACCTTTTAGTGAACCTGAGTTATGCAATCAAGCATTAGGTACGAAATTAGAGCATGAATACTGCAACAGATGTTCTGCAATTACTGATTTGTAGATAAACAAGAAAAGTTTTTTTTTGCATTACTATGTCAATAGCCTCTTTGGTACTACAAGTTGGCTGTGACATAAAGAATGCAATCAAGGATGTTCATAGGTTATCCTATTCTGCATAGAAGGACCAGATTTAAAGGGATAGTTCATCCAAATATGACAATTATGTCATCATCCCCTCATACTCATGATATTCCAAACCTGTCTGGAATCCGTGAAGCACAAAAGATGATTTCTGAGAGATCGAAACCCATTTATTTTCATTGTATGAACACAATAACACTGGGTCTCATTTGCTAATAATTGCGTGGTTTATTTTCTATCTGTAAGCACAGGAGATGTTCTCATGAAAAAAATTCAACCTAAAACATGAATTTGTTCTTAACCTGGTTAGGAGTTTGTCTCTCACAATTTGCAATTCTGAGAAAAGAAATTGAAGAGATATATGTGAGGCAAACTCAAAAGTTTAAATCGTTGCAGTTTGCTAGAATTGAGTGTACATCTCGCAATTCTGACTATTTTGTTACAACTGAGTTTACATCTTGCAATTTAGTTTTTTTTTTTTGTTCCTGCCACATAATAAAACAGGTCATTGCAACTTTTTATCTGACAATTCTGATTTTTTTTGTCTCAGAATTGCAAGTTTATATCTAGCGATTGTGAGTTAACATTTCACAAAGTCAGAAAAATGTAAAAATTGTGAGATAAAAAGTCACAACTACCTTTTCATTTTTTATTCCATGGTGGAAATTGGCTTTCATATGGTAGTTCCAACATTTATTCGTAAATTTAGAATACATTTTAGTACGAAAGGTATTTGGTGAATCATGATTTGTTCATGAAAACATGCGTAAGGAAATCTGCATTTTCATGAACAAATCATATTTCACCAATAACTGAAATATGGGATGAGGCCCACTGAGTTTTACAGAACAAAGTGCATTTTTGGAATGACATTAGGGTGAGTAAAAGATGACAGAATTCTCATTTTTGGATTAACTATCACTTTTAAAATGCACATCTAATTATTGTCCTCTGATTTCACTAGTAAAGCTATGCTTAGGTCTTGGGCCATTTTTTATCAGCCTTGAATTGCTGTGCTCACCTGGATTGCAGTCTGTCAGCAGAGAACAGATGGAAAGCAGGACCTTCGAGATGGTCAGAGCTGGGCTCCAGTTATCCTTCAGGATGTCCAGGCAGATCACACCCTGACTGTTGATGTTGCAGTGATAGATCCTCGTGCGGAACGTGACCTGCACATGAGGGGAGGAAACCAAAACCATCACAAAACAAGTCCATCTAAAAAGGGATGATGTTGGCTCACCAGTCCAGAACCACATTTAATACTCTGGATGTGTTTTAACAGGGCTTTCATTATAGACGGGGCTTTTGAGAGCTGGATGGCAGCTTTCACTCTCATTAACGACTCTCTCAGAAACCAGGGCTGAATCCTGAAAGCTATCGATCCAGTGAGAAAAGAGAGCCAAGCAAGCTTAATCCGACCCAGCTTCTCAACTGTGTGACAGTAGCCCTTATCTAGAGTATTGGCAACTTCTGGCCCCCGGCTTACAGGACCAAAGGGATGCCGCTGACTGCAGTATTGTGGGAGGGCCGAGTCTGCCGGATAAGGGTCAAGGGATAGACCGGGTCATGCATTATTCTGCTCCCTTAGCACATGAAGAGTGCTTCTTGTTTGTTGACTGCGTCTCACTCTGCCCCCTGCAGCAGCTACTAAGACGTCCGTCACATGATGCAGCATAAACCGAGCGACCAAAATAACCCTGCCTGCCTGGCACAATGCGGGTATTGTATGAACATGGTGGTCTTGGAGTCTGAAAACACAGCCAGCATGACACGGGCAGCCTGTGTGAGGCCTCACGGCCAATGCTGGGAAACAAAACAAGACAGAGTTCATGACATATGCCCCCTATGGAGAGAAAGTGAGAGAAAAACCTAGTGAGCTGACTATTTAGCATGTAAAGGCATCATAGTGACACTAGCAATGCAAAGACTGTTCCTAAAGTTGGGAAGCTGGCTTTTTTAGTCAAATGTAAACTAACAATAAACAGAAATGCATTGTACATCTGAAAAATAAAATACTGATAGGATATTTATTATCCTAAACTACTATCATTAAAAAAAAAAAAAAAAAAAAATCACACACTATAACATACAATATTTACTGTTTTGTCCATCCCTTTGTCAAGCATTCCTGAGTCACATTTACACAGAAATATTAATCCAAGAATGCTCAAGTTAAGAGAAATGTTGAATGTAAACATAGTTACATAAGCATTTTATATATAAAATACAAGTATAATGTTTTACATACAGCACAATATTTACTACTTAATGCAACACACGCATACACTTAATAAATATTGAGAAATGTTCCTACTTTACCCAATATTGTACTGTATGTGCTGTGAATTTTCTTAAGTTTGAAGTTTGAAGTTTTAAGGCGGCTAAAATGTTAAATTTGCCCCAGTGTTTTGGACTTTTGCAAGAAATTACAAATGCAATATTAATTATAAAATAATTATAATTTAATATTAATATGTTTAACAAAATGAGTAGTATATTTAATGCAACACAGACATACACTTAATAAGCATAAAAATATAATTGAATATTAAAATGTTTTAATAAATAAATTTATACAATTATTATATTAAATATTATAAACTATGAAAAGTATATATATGGAAAGGTTTTTTCCTTTGCATTTTTTATAAGATTTGCATACAAACAACGACATTGCTAAAACAATCCCCGTTCACATGAATCTGCAAAAATGACAAACGTTGTATTATGCATGCCAGGCCAGTAGTTGGCAACGTCACTTTGTACAGAAACACTATGCGAACACGTAATATGAATGAGCATGACTTCACCATTTTCCGCAAATTTGTGTTTTTGTCGATTACACAGAGACGATTAATGGTATTGTTTTCAAAAACGTGCACTTTGAAAACCCGTTTTCAAAAGTTTTCAAAAACACCATTGTCGTATAAAACTTTTTCAGGTTTTTGTTGAAAGCGATGTAATCTAAATGCCCCCTTAGTTCAGATATAACTGACAGCAAGTGAACTTCTTGATAGTTGAATTCATTTGAATGTTAATCAAAGCCATAATCAGATCTTTACTGAATTATCATCCTTTGACATAATTAGCTTAGTAACAAAGGCATCTGTGTAGGCAGCAGACAGCCAGGTAGGGTTTTAAAGTTTCTAAACAGACAGACAGAGAGAAAAAAAAAAGAGACAAGACTAGTGCTGGGCGGTATGACCAAAAATTTATATCACGGTATTTTTCAAAATTATACCGGTTTCAAGGTACATGATGGTATTTTAGCTGTTCCCTCACCACAGTGAAACAGTGAAAAGGGAACCCTTTCAAACAGTGTCGCGTTCCGAACATTGTTTAAGCGACATACACCGCATTGTTACCATATTGCGGTATTTAAAAAAATTCATATCATAACAAAAATAAACACCGGTATTCGTTATGAACCAGTATACCGCCCAACACTAGACAAGACACAAAATAAATGAGAAAGAGCTCTTTTTAAATGCACATTATGACCCAACCAAACTACGTTAGAGCCTTTTTTTTTTACAGCTCGAGTTAATCGATACTCTTATTTCTAGACAGACTTTTAGGATGAAACGCCTGTCTCTCTGTCTTTTCCACCCTGTTCCCAAACACAGACAGACTCATTCACAAAAGCACAGATTAGCGGACCACAAACCAAGCTGCACGGGCAACGACTTCACAGAGCACCGGCCCAAACGAACGTAGGCGAGATCGGCCCCCAAGTTGCCCTGTGTTTCATCTGGTGACAAAAGAATGAGGGGGTGCGGGCCGCCGGCTCTGCACTCAGAGGATGAATCCTGTTTATAATTAGTGGATTAGAGCTTTGCAGTGGCTTGATCTGAACAAAGAGCCCCCTCCAGCCCATGAGCTTTATATAAACTTGTTGTTTACAGATGCCACTGACGATCGAGATGAGGGCCAGACTGAGGCGGAGAGCCACTCGGAGCGGCGCAAACTCCCAAACATGCTGAGGAAGGAAATTCGGATACTAATTAATCAGAAATGCCGTGGTTGACTCTTTCACCTTTATAGCTGGAGCCGTAGTAAATCAGCTTCCCTAAACCACATCTCTGCCTGTCGGCATCTCGCTAATTGCTTTACACTGGAAATAGCCAGTGCTCGAAGGAGTACGTTCATTTATGCAGCACACAAAACAAACAATCGTTCAGCTTCACATGATCCTTGAGGTATTTTAACAGAGGTCAATCAATACCTGTTCTGAATGATCTGTTTCAGAGTGTCCTTGGTAGAGCTAATACATCTTAATTAAAGGCCACTGCTCTTTGTGGCCGACTAGAGACTAATAATAGCAAAACACACATACACCGAAGGGTTCAAGAGTCTACTTGTGAAAATGCTTCAATTTTGTATTTTACAATAATAGTTTAATAGCTTTTTCCCCATTACAAATTATATCGGCAGACATATTTTCAGTGAAAAGCTTTGTTCTCCATCTTGAACTTTAATGAAAGCAAGAATATCTTACCATCTGTATAAAAGAGTAGTAAGATTGGTGACCTAGAAATTTTACATCATAACATTTTTATTTTATAAATCCAAAAACTTTAATTCCAGAATTAAATTACATTTAAAAAATAAGGACTTTTGTATGTGTGGATTATTGTACTACTATGTATATTTGTCTCATGTAATTATTATATTCTTATTTTTAATTCAGCTTTTTACAACATGTATCAGAGCTTGCACTGTAAAAAATTATTTTTTTGATGTTGTAAACAAAACGTTATGTTTTACAAGAAAATACTATTTCAGTCTTTCTACTTTAAAAGTTCATGTTTAATTCAATGTGTTATTTGCCATTTCTTTGTTTTTATTTGTGAATTTACTAGCAATTGAACTGAAAATTGTTTCAAAGCCAACCTTTTTTTTTTCAGTGTGGTTAGGAAAACATTTGAACCATTGTGCCATATGGACACGCAACAAAAAACCCTTTAAATATCCAACAATAGTTGATGTAGAATTAAAAGCAGTGGAATACATAGTAAATAAATGTAAATAACTTTCAGATTATACAGTATAATGCTTAAATTATAATTTACTTTCATATAGGTTAGGAATGTCATGGGATTTTGATTCATGAACTTCTATTCTGAAGAACCGCATCAAACGGCTGATACAGCTGTTTTATGTTCTGCCCCATATTCAAGAACAGCTTTGATGTACTGAGTCTGAAGTGCTTCCAAATATGTTCCAATGCATTTGATTTTGCATTTATATTGAGACCCCGTTGCGAAACGTAATGAGCTGCCTATGCAGCTTCTGAAAGCATGATGATGCTGCCTTCTAAGACGCCTTCTTCTGGCCAAGTTCTAAGGCATTCATAAGTATTTCATGTATCATTCACTTATAAGCTGCTGTGTCAGTCAGAATTCTCTCTTAGAAGGCAGCAGCCTATATAGGCAGTAAAAAGCATGACCGCTCACTAGGTTTTGAAACAGAGCCTTAAGAGTTTAGTTCCAAACCTCCATCCTGGTACACTTGCCTGTAATTTTCAAGACTTTGATTAGAGCTGTAAGTAACCAAAGTAGGAAGGAAACTCTCTAGAAGCAGGATTAAGCATCCACTTTTTCAAACCTCAAAAAGAATGAATAAAAAGGGAAGATGTTTTCCCATACTGTACCTTTGGTGGCTTGAAGGGGTAATCGGAAGAGAAGGTGATATCCAGAAAGAACACGCCTCCCTCATAGACTGAACCTGGAGGGCCCAGAATGGTGGATCTCCACTCATAGATGTTGTCGCCCTTGGGTCCCGCACTGAAAAACACACACATAAGCCAAGGTGATTGAGCATCTTACACCCAAGACTGAAATACTGGCCAATATTTGCCCATTGTGAGAATACGAGCATTGGCTGATTGACAGAACCATTGCATACCAACATCCAAACATATTGTGTTTTAATTATTTTCACTGAATTGAGAAAACAATGTTTTACAAAAAAAAAATAATAATAAAATAAAATAAAAAATAAATAAAATGTTTGATTTGGTTTGATTTCAGCTTACGTATATATATTTCAGCATAAAAAGATTATGGATAAAATAAAATAAAATAATATCAAAATAAATAAAATGAAATAAATTAAATCAGATTTTCATATTAAGAGTAATTAATTCTGTGCATCAACAATGCATATAGTATATATGACAAAATATAACAGACTCTTGTCTTGGTGCATGATGCCACAACATTTAGTTTTTAAAGCAGCACTGAGGTGGCATGAATATATTTACACATGGATCACGATCACAGGACACAATGTACCACTTGCAAGTTGATCATTCTTGCTCACATATAAAGAAACCAAGGCATGCACTAATTAACAATGACAAATAAAGGGTCACTCTAATGTGGCAATGAACAATATTAATAAATATAAATAAATTAAATACAAAAAAAAAAAAAAAAAAAAAAACAGGTTTTTAAACTTT